TAGGCCTTTCTAGGGCCCCTTAAGGGTTCACATAGGGTATGTAGTAGGTATAGTATGGGTCCCAGGGGCTGCAGGGTGGAGGATGTAGGGCTTCATGGGTTTAGGGTTTAGGGTTTGAGGGATTAGGATTCAAGATGTAGGGTTTTGGTGTTAAGGCTTCCAGAGTTTTTTGGCTTCGCCTTTAGGATTCACTATATTTCAAGTTTGCACAACTTTCTGGAGCTTTTCTCAGGGGGTGTAATCCTACAGTGAGTTGCCAAAGGGGTGAGTAAGGTTTCGCTCTTCGCCCATTATGGTTATTGAAGGATTCATTGGAGTTCAGAGGCTCCGAGATATCCTTTAGTTCAGGATCCCATATTTGTTTTATTCCCGACTACAGTAAAGGAAGAATATCGGTGCCCTAATGATTGTGACAATCGGGCTTTGGCGTATGTTCTAGTATCGTGGGACTATAACGGCGACTTTCAAGCTCATATACTTCTACTTAATATGGCACCCGATAGTTTGGGAACCCCAAAAGAGGCCTTAAGTGGACAACCACCCACAAGGGAGTTGTTCTACTGAACCCAGGATTCTCCCCAGCAAAACCCCAATACCCATTCCGGGCCCATTCCGTACGTGATCATAAGAAGAGGGTTTAAGGTTTGTAGGGTTTAGGGATAGGAAGCCCCAAGCAATCCTTGACAATTCCTTCAGCTGGACTGAGAAGCTCTATATACTCTAGGATAATCCTCCCAACAATAAGAAGCCTTCAATGTGGTGGAAGTGGGATACTGTTACTACTGAAAGGATCAGCAGAGGACTTAGTTCGGGTTACGATTGCAATATGTTACAATTCTAGGTGTATCAACCCTAGGCCCTAAACCCTAAACCCTAAACCCCAAATAGGCCCCATTTGTGGCCCTGCTTGCTAAGTCCCTTGCTTTCTTTCCGTCGGCTCCCCGGGGCAAGCTGGGGCTTCCGGAAAAAACGATGGACTACGGGGAGACCACACTCCTTTGAAGTGTCGGGTCAGGGGTGTAGGGTTTAGGGTTTAGGGGTTTAGGGTTTAGGGTTTAGAGTTTAGGGTTTAAGGTTTACTACGGGGTGGGGTTTAGGGTTTAGCGTTTAGGGTTTAGGGTTTACGGTGTGGGGTTCAGTTTATGGTTTGTACACGGGCTGGCCGGCAGATTGAAGACACTATTGCCGAAGCTCTAGGCTTCGCGACATTTGGGTACACGGCCTAGCCTAAACTCTAAACCCTAAACCCTAAACCCTAGATAATATTGCAACCATGAAGCCTAAGCTCGTAGCTGACAGCACATAACTACAGTATCACAACACCCTCAACCCTAGACCCTAAAACCCACAAACTCGAACATGCTAAACCAAAACACCCTAACTTTGAGGCCAAAAACACAAAAAAAATCCAAAATCCTAAACTCGACTCAAACCCAAAGAAACTAAACTCTAAACCCCTCGAAGGCTTGGCGACATCAGGCGCCGAGGCGCATCAACCACGAGATCGGCCCAAAGCCAACCTGGGTGTTAAACCCCGGATAAAACTCCCGTGTTGGTTTGGTTGAGGGGTTGAGGGGATAAGGGTTTAGGGTTTAGGGTTTAGGGTTTAGGGTTGAGGGTTGAGGGGATAAGGGTTTAGGGTTTAGGGGTCTAGGGGTTGAGGGGATAAGGGTTTAGGGTTTAGGGGTCTAGGGGTTTAGGGTGTAGCGTTTCGGGTTCAAGGTTTAGGGTTTAGAGGCTCGGGTTTACAGGGTTCCGTTGAGGACTTCATGTCAAGGGTCTATAATGGGTTTCTATAAGTGACTCAATCAGGGGCCCCAAAAAAAATACTTAGAAGAAAGGTTTCCGGGCAAACTTTACGACAGTTGTAGTGCGGAGCCCTGGTTGGGAATATGACACATCAGCTTTAAATAACATTCTAAAGACTCGGGCTTTAGGGTTCAGGGTTTTCGGGTTTTGGGCCTTAGAGGTTTAGGGTTTGGAGTTAGTTTAGGGCTTTTGATTGTGCCACGGTTTTGGGGTTTTAGGCTTAGGATCTCGCAGTTTAAGCGTAGCAGTTCTTCACATAGGGTCTGACCAATGAACAACCATGCCGAAATAGACCCCGGTTCAACGGAACACTTTTAAAGAGCCCTACGCCCTAAACCCTAAACCCTAAACCCTAAACCCTAAACCCTAAACCCTAACCTAAATCCTAAACCCTTAAGGCCCCCAAAGTCGGATCTCAATGCCCGGAAAGGGGCCTGGTAGCCGCTCACGTAGATCATCAAAGCGACGACCTCGAAGGAGGGTTCTCGGGGTTCTATAGGGTTCTATAGGGTTTACCTTAAGAACCCCAAACCCACCTTTTTGTAGGCTCTTATTATAATCCTTAATATTGGATTTATAGGGACCCTACAAAGAAGTAGGTTTTGGGTTCTTAAGGTAGGGTTTAAGGTTTAGGGGTTCAGGGTTTAGGGCTTAGAAACCTCAGAAACCTGGAAGGCCACCGCGGACCGAATGGTGGGCATGGTGCAAGCGTTGATTTTCACGACAAATCAGGGGGCTTGGGTAGGTAACTTATAGCATTTGGGTAACCGCAGAGAAAACTGGTTACAACCCAATTTGCGCTACCTTCTGACCATGCTTACGAAGCCCTAAACCCTAAACCCTAAACCCTAAACTAGGCCTCTTGAGTCATTGAGTATGGACCCTGAAACCCCAAGACCGAGTCTTGCCTTCCGGCCCCTTGCAACTTCATGGGCTCCGGTTTTTCACATTCAAAGCTGAGGGGCCTAAAACGGAAAGTTACCGGAAGTTACTTTCCCAGAAACCCAGGCAAATTGCGCCTGAATTGTGGAAACATGCTAGTTTTAGTGTACAAGAGCCGAAACCTGAATTGAATTGCAAAGATTGGAGACAACTTAATTTAGCTCACAGAACCCTAAACCCTGCACCGACGCGCTCCCTGCTGGGCAATGCATTCTCCTCCTCTTGGATCTAAAGGCACATGTTGTCTCTTGGTTCAAAGCTCTCTTGATACTCTTAAGCACAGAGTTGGCTATGTTTCCTGCCCTATACCCTTCAGTTGAACCCAAAACCCTGGCGCTGTGGGGCTCACTGTGCCTACGCGCTTCTGAGTGGGGAGCGGTGGTGATGGCCCATGGTCGCGGCACACTTACCTGGCTGGATCGAGGCGGAGATTGGGGACGGCGGTCTGCTGTAAGGTGTAGCAGGGTTTAGGGTTTGGAGTTTAGGGATATAGGAACCTGCATTAAGGGGCCTTGGGTCTTTGTAGGGCCATGGTTTCTCTTAATCAGGTTCCTACAATAGAAGCTTAGGCCTAAGACTAAAACACCGAATCTTAAAGCTCCTGAGCTGTCAACGCTGCCTTTTACAGGAGCCACTGTCATTTCTGTGTTCACCCTTTGGTCGCACGAGCCCCTTTTGCATGTAGGCTTCAGGTCGCAAATTTGGCTTCTAAGCCCAGGAAGTCTAGGACCTATGCCAGGACCACATCCTCCAAGCTCTCCAGGAGAGGAGCCACCGGATCGAGCTGATCCCCAGTTCCGGCCGGTCTTGCTGAGCGCGCCTTCTCAAGGGCTGCAGCACCTCGTTCGCTGCGGCCATCTCTTTCTGAAGGTGATCGACTCGCGTAGCGAAAAGATGATCCAGGTCCAGTTCGAGGGCAACGTGGCCCTCCCGCAGCACATCTTGGAAGTGAGCCCGATCTCGACTTGGCGTGTTCGATTGGCTGCGGACAGTCTGGTGATTGCTGGAGCGTTGGATTCTGACAGCACGGGGCACTCAAGCCGTTGCAACTGAGTTCCGGAGGGCAGTAGCCCAGCACACCTCCGCCCCAAAACCTCGCAACCCTTCCAAGGACTGGACTCTGAAGCGTCACAGTCAAACATCACGCCGCGTCTCGAGGAAAAGCTAGTGGCAGCTAGAGGCACTAAATGTGCAGCTCGGCCACGTCTTGCATGTGCAGCACCGCGCCCTTGACGCGCGCGAGGTCTGCAACTCTGCGTGCATGACACTCCCAGATTCCAGACGCAGATCTTCCGTTCCAAGGTTCAGGGCTTAGGGCCTTAGGGCACTAGAGCTTTAAGCTCGGGGCTTGGGGCCTGGATTTTGTGGATGAATATGGGGGGGTTCCAAAAATAGGGGACCCTAATATAGCACCCTAAATAGTAGTATCCTTATTATAAGGACCCCAAAATAAGGTACCCCTAAGTTCCGAAACTCCCATATCGGCTTTGGGGGTGGGCAGATGGGCAAGTACAAAGTCCAGCTTCGAGGTTGCGCCTTTGAGGCGCCGGTGGAAGTATGTCCACGTGCCGAATTGGGGCTTAGGGTTTAGGGTTTAGGCTTTAGGGTTTAGGGTTTAGGGTTTAGGGTTTAGGGTTTAGGGTTTAGGGTTGAAGGCTTTGGGTTTAGGTGTGCCGGGTTGGGGTTTAGGGCTTAGTCTTGTTTTAATCGCCCCTTTTCTCTTCGCACAGCTCTACAAGCTGTCAAACACCTGAAGCCCCCCAAAACTAGCAGGATGCCCCGATCCAAACGCCCTCGGGTATCCCGAAACCAAGCCTCAAACATGGCAAGCACTAAACCGTGCACTTCACGCAAGAGCCGCAGAAGCCCCGTAAATTAGCCGGAGTATTCGCAACAAAAACCTAAACCCCAAACCCTGAGACCAACCTCTCCGCAAGAAAACCCTTTTAGACTCTGCTGCCTCGGCATCTCAAGTCCTACACCTCGAAGAGCCATACAGCCTTGGAGGTTACACTCCGAAGCCCATAATGCTACCCACAAGACTAAACCCTGAAACCCCAAACCGTAAAAAAGTCCGGTTCAACAAACCCTTATTGAAACCGCTACAGAGCGCTTTAAAGACCATTTCCTTGTAAATCTACGTGCCTTCTCCTGCGGGCATTGGGCCATGGGCACGTTTTCCTGGCTCACTGGAAGCTTCTACATCCTTTGAATAAGGGACTCTGGTTTAGGGTTTAGGGTCAGCGTTTGGGGGGGCTAAGGGGACCTTGAATAAGGGACCATGACAGTAACTATAGCTAACATGGCTCAGGGTGTAGGGTTCAGGGGCCGAAGGGGACAACTAAGAAGCAGTGTTCTCACATCTGACTGGGGTTCTTAAAGAGGGATCCATAGACATGAGATCATCGAGCTTCGGCCTCTTTGGCATCTGTGTGGTTGAGGATAGGGGTTCGGGAATTCGACATTGAGGAGTTAGGAATAGGGGGACCCTTCGAGATATAGACCTTCTCAATTCAGGTCCCTTTTAAGAGAGTAAGAAGGGTCCCCTTTAAGAGCTACCTAGGAACTTTGCCGGGGAAACCGAGAAACCCAAATCCTTGGCCACCTCAATCCGAAACCCGGACCCCGAAACCCCAAATCCTAAGCTTGAGGGGGTTGAGGGGTTTAGGGGTTTAGGGGTTTCGGGTGTAGGGTTTAGGGGTTTCGGGGTTTAGGCTTTAGGGGTTTAGGGTTTAGGGGTTTAGGCTTTAGGGGTTTAGGCTTCAGGGGTTTAGGGTTTAGGGGTTTAGGGGTTTAGGGGTTAAGGGGTTTAGGACAACAAACAG